TTTCTACTCTCTTTTTAACTCTAAATCACCTAACTTCAGCGAAGTGAAAACACATGTCAACGTTCCGATCTGTTTACATCTGAAGAATACACTCTATTCTCCCCTCCCTCAGGATTAGTTTCTGAGCATGAGCAGATATGCAGGCCAAAATTACGCATGCGTTACTGGATGTCCGTGATTTACGGGCATCCGGTAATGGCTGCTACCAGAGCCCTCCGTTTCTCCGACCATGTGACCAAAAGAAACGGAGGCTCTGGGGACGAGAATGCTCGCGCTCTGAAAAAACATTTTCCTTGACGTTGATATTGTGGTAAAAACAAATCGAATGAGGTTTAATGTTTTCTGTTCTCTTATCACAGTGGTCACATTCGATTTGTTAAATTAAGTTAATTTGTGAGTTTCTCAGAACAATGCCTAATCATAACTAAATTTAATTCCGATAGTTTCGTATTATTTCTGCTTGTTTAGCGCGTTTCCATAAGTTTTTGAAATGAAAGTCTGACCCGTACATTTGCATATTGCAGCGTGCACTTTCAAGACTGAGAAAATTGAAATATATTTTTTTCGCTATCTTTGTGCTGAGATTTTTGCCAACGCTAAAAGGCTACTAAAATGATCCTGTTTCTTCAACATAGTTAAATTCCATACTTCGAAAATGAAATAGAAAAGAAGTTTTGAGAACTTAATCAACAAAACGGAAGTCGTTTATATTCGGGTTGATTAAAGAAAGCGCTACCGTAACTTTACTGATTATTTATGCCGTTTTCACATATTTCCAGCTGACCTTTTAATATGTTATCAAGCATTTATCATTCTTAAACTTATTTCAAAACTGGAGATATTGTTTGAGTTCGATGTACGTTTTTACACGAAAGTGGTCCAATTTATCATGTTTAGCTACGAAACACGCATCGGCCAGCGCTGTTTTTCATTGACAGCCGACGATTTAGTGGATTTTAACACAAACACTTATTGCCTTGATGAAATATCAAGTGTTGCTTGCAATTCAGGCGAGACTCAAACTCTCAAAGTGTTAATACTTTCCGGCCGTGATAGACCGCTCACCCAGCGAAATCCTCGCAAGCGTGTGGCAAGAGGAAGGAAACTTTGAAGATCTCAAACGCTGCTATACCCAAATATATCCAGCTTTTTTTTGGTATGTTATGGAAAAGCTCTTTATCTTTAACATACACAGACGACACGACGTTAACCTGCGCTGCTAACTTTGCCGGATTCCGTTGGTGTTTTACAAAGTTCACTGACTACAGCAATTTCTGCGGTCGACCAATGGGCAACAGCTAATAAACTTCCTCTCAATGAGAGCAAGACAAAAGCGCTTACCATTACTGTTTGACTCTGTCAAACTGTTCAATAAACTAAACTGGATACCATTTTTCGAACAGGCTAAACTAACTAAATGCTGTGTCATATACAAGCCTTTACAGGGGCATGTACCAACCTATCTTAAAAGTTTACTTAAGCTTACTGGCGACACTCATTCACGGTAGTCTAGGTATACCAACTTCAATATTGCTCGCCCTGTTATCAAACGTAAAACTGAAGGAGGAAGAACATTTACTGTGACGGCCTGTCAAGCCTAGAACAGCTTACCGCTATCAATGCGGAAAATAGCGTCGCTTAATTCTTTTAGGAACTCTCTTTGGAAAAGAATTTTTCAAGAACAGCAGCTTTTAAATCATTTTATTCTGTGATTTAGTTATACTTTTTGTACTTTTAATTGATTTTATCTCTTATCTCTTGTATTTTTATTCGTTATATTATCTTATAGTTATGCCATAGTTTTAACATCCGTATTGTACATAATTTTTAGAGGACCACTGGTTTGTTAGTATTTTTATACTATTTTAGTGCTACCCTCTTTAAATAAAGCCTTTACTTACTTACTTACTTACTTACTTACTTACTTACTTACTTACTTACTATATATAAAATTTTGAGTTAGCGTTGTTTTTTTAATTGTTCCTTTCTTTTGTGGATTAGAATGTTTCTTAAAAACAACGGGTGGCCAATGCTGCATCATACCTTTCAGTTACAGAGGAGTGACATACCACTCTTGTACTACTGTTGATCACCACAGGTTGTGGTGTTCACTGGACGCTATCTACACGGAAAACTGGTAAGATTGTGGTAAGTATTAGATTGGTTTTGTGATCAACTAAACACTTCAGAGTGATATGTCTGCAAGAATCAAACAAAACCGCTCAACAGGGTTAAAACTTTGTAAGATCTAAACTGCTCAAACTCGGGCTAGAGGGTTATAGATCGCTCTGGGGTTACGTTATCAAGGAATATTTTTTTCGTCCAAAAAGAACAAATTTTTTTTAGGGCCTGACACAATAAAATCCAACTTGAAAAGTAGCCATTTTGAAGCGAACTACTTGCATTAAGTATAAAACCACATTCACTTGTTGTCACCTCCATCTAAGATTTTTTGAGAGTTTATTTTATTATTCCTATATGAAATTTTAATTTTCATACAAATAATAATAATAATAATAATAATCATAATAATAGTAGTAATAATAATAATACGTTGACACGTAGTGAGACTCAAAAAGAAACGATGCTGTTTCTGTATTAAAATTTCAAGCTGAATTGAACCAAAGAATCTACACTGCTACTTCTTAAGAGCTTCAAATGGTACAGCTGTGCGCTTGATGCGATAAGTTAAGGAGCTAGTTTCAAATTATCAGGTTAATTTGTTTGATTTCCTTATTTCCTCTTTTCTTCAGTTTGCGATAAAATACAACTTTAATTAGTTTCACTTGTTTGAAAATTACGCCCAAAGAACTCCTCAGGGAAAAAAAAAATGCGTCAGTATGAACAAAAAGCAATTTTCTTAAGATATTTTTAAGTCTATATTTAGGTGGCACACCTACGCCCTGACGAGTTCATGAGACGTACTTAGAGCCAAACTGAAGGTTTCCCAAAGTTTATTTAAAATTGCAGTTTAGTCAAATCGAAAGTTTTTTTCGCAGAAGTCCTTGGGCGAAGTCGATATTCAAGAGAAATAGTAAAAGAAAAAAGGCTATGGCCACTTTAAGATTGTAATGCAAATATACGTTTCTTCACTTAAATTGCAGAAGAAAAAACCAAAGCCAATCCATTTCTAATTTAATAAGAAACTTTTAATGAAAACTAATAGTGTTTTTCATGCTTTTTTATTTAGCATGATTACTTAACAAGTGACTACATGACAAGGATACGAAATACGAATTATAGATTACACGAAAAAACACGTCAGTTTAACAGTAAACGTCTAAGGCATCACCGAGGAAATTATAGCTTTAGAAAAAATAAAGTTTGCAATTTATGCATTTCAATATGGTGGTTTTCTTCGTTTTCCAAGTCAGTGTGTACTCTCGTAGTCACAACACATTTGTTTTTCGTCTGGGTGACTCAACCGAAACCCCGCTCTGTGCTCCTTCGTAATTTACGAATTACCTGTGCAAAGAAAGCCATATACTGAGTCAAACGTATATTGTTAAAAGAAGACATGTACCCAGCCTCAGTTTAAACCCAGTTTTGCTGTATGCAAGTGGTTGTACTTTGGTTTAGCGATATCCCGGCCTTTGCTATCATCCGGAAGTTCCCTACTTAATGCCTTACCCTACAAACTCCATACCAACGTTCTCGGTCGTTATCTTGAAGGTTACAGTAGTGGACCTGTATTTTACCATTTTCGCGCCTGTCTCGTCGCATGCTTAGTAATGAATAGAAGATGTATTGTATTTTGCAATGCACGTGCTTTCCTTGTGGCTTCTACAATGCCTCCCTATTTTCGAGAATTGATTTTCCCCTGAAATATTGAAATTTTACTCGTCTGTAACTTATAACTATACCTTGCAACAACAGCAACAACAACAACAACAACAACAAAACTGTCTTGTATTGGTCGATAACGAGACCGTCAATATGACGCTTTAGGACTTTTTGAGAAAATTTACGTCTGTTTCTTTTGAAACACGTAGGCCACATTGCTTTTACGATGATTAAAGTTTCATCCTGTTGTACAAGTTGTTTGTTAAAAAAAAAAAATGGTTGCACTAGTTTTGCGTTAACTACGTTGATCATGAGATTAGATCATGTAGATAAAACGACTCGCCAGCAGCCAGAGAGCCTATTGTCAACAGAAAAAGGAGCAAATCAGAAATTACCGAAGACAATACTGTAAAAACAACAGGGAACGGATCAACGAATATTGGAGAAGTTATTATGCCAAGAACAAGGAACGGAAAACTAGGACAGAATATCGTGCGTTTTGGGGCCTGGGACCAATGCAAGAGTTTGTGAAACTGGAAACGAGTTTAGTTCCCAACACTTTGTGGAATACCGATGGTCAAGACTTGAAGAGTTAAAATTATAATCAATTCTTTCTTTGGAGTTATTATTCAATAAACGTTACAAACACTCAGACTCTTTGTTTTGCTTATAACAATTTAATGACATTACTGTGGGATATACCCCTTATCCCCCGTCTTCTCATTGGTTCTTAATCACGTGACAACGCGTAACCCCTATCCCCCATCTTCTCATTTGTTGTTAACCACGTGACATTGTCTATTGTTTTTTGAATACCCGTTTATTAGTCAAATGGTCTTGATAGAATTCACTTTAACTTGGGACCGACTTATGCTGAATTCTTGTTATACATTTTAATCCAAGACAAAGTAAGTGTTTTTCATGTTTTTCAAAATGAACGTATTTGTGAGTGTTGACAAAGCTAAGTAGTTAGCGTGTTGGGCGGTAACCAATCCGTCCCGATTTTGTTTTAAGACTTTAGCTTTTTGAGTGAGAAAAGAATGTTGATGTAAACTTTGAAGATACAGCTTCTAATCATGTGCTTTTAATTTATCCAAGTATGACAACTCAAGTTGACGATGGAGTACGACAAAGATTTTGACGAAACGACCTCACAAGCACTTTTGGAAGTGGAGAGAGATCTTTCTCTTCCCAGCAACTCATTGGTTAATGGTACGCCATCGCAATTTTTTTTGTGCTTCCATGCATACTTTCGAACACAAGTGCTTTTTTGAATATTTAATTTTGGTGTTCACTGATTCTGTGACCTGAAAGTCTTGTACGACTTCTACGTTTTCGGCTTTTCCTTGCTTCTCGTTTTTTCGCTGAACGTTCGAAGTCCTGTTCGCGAAAGATTCCGTTACTAGATTTCTTTTCTGGGATTTTGTGATCTTTTGGACAGTAAACAGCTAGTTTGTTATTTGTGCCACATGTGTGTTTGTCCTCGTGGCCTTCTCACTTGGGCTTTAGTTTTTTCTTCGTTCGTTGAACGTTTGGAGTTTTTGTATTGCTTTTCTCTACCCTAGATTTTTATTTCTAGGATATCTTGTTTTCTTCACTATATTTTCGTGAAGAAGCTTTCGTTTTTCGTTTTTAACGTTTCGCCTGTATATTCCATTTCGTCTTTTGCATTTGCCCTTTGTTAGTTGCGTAATCTAGTTACGCAAAGCTAGTGTTAATTTTGCCTTTTGTTCTTGCTTTGCTGCTGCTAATTGCGCGCCTTTTCTTTTCACCTTTGCCCTTTGAATTTTTGCTCTTTTCTTCTTGCACGCCTAACGGCATTTTGTATTACTTTTATTTGGCCTTTCAACTTCGCGTTTATCGCTTTTTGACTTCTCCGCTTCTCGGCTTCTCGGCTTTTGGGCTTTTCGGTTATTCAGCTTTTCGGCCTTTCCTTTTTTTTCGGTTTTCCGTATTTCCCGCCTTTGCTTTTCACGCCTCTTTTTCTGATTCCTACTCGTCATGGTGAGCGAGCACCGTCTGACAGTTAATATTAGCGACCTTAAGATAAGAGGAAGGGAAGGCCAGGACGGGAACGGCAGTGGACGCGGGAAACTTTCGCGTGTCCCGTCGTGTCGCCAAGAACAAAATGCTTAAGATGTGTATTTTCGCAAAGGACGGCGACTTCAATAATTCAAACATCTTTTACACTATAAAACAGATGGTAGAAATCTCATCCTATTAAGCTTGAACGATAGTGAACAGCGATGCTGAATTTATTTTTCTTTACAAGCGAAGCAAACATCAGTCAATATTTTAAAAGAGAAACCTGAATTTCCGCATGAAAAAATTAAACGAACAATCTGATCGACCTGCTTCAGATGGCTTTTTACCACGGGAGCGTTTGAGAATTCTGTCGCCGAAGAATCCTGACTTTTGGTGAACAATTCAATTTCCATCTGTAATTGTAACAAACATTATGAAAATAAAACAAACGTTGCATCAAGTTCCGGGTAGTATAAAAAAACTACAACTAAACATCAGTTTGAAAATGTGTATTCTATTTGCTAGATAGATGTTCTATGGCATTCATTCTTACAACATTTTATCGACTGTACTTACACTGATGTATTCTCAATGCATACAGTTTGTATTGAGCTTGCACACTCGTGACAGCGACTGAACAGTGACTGAAACACAAACGAATAGACGAGGAATATTTTTATTCACATTTTCGCATGTCAGCGTAGTATTCTACACTACAATCACGAAAAATGCGAACCTTATAAACATTCCTATCAATATTAGTCAAAATAAAGTCGATTGGAACATTTAGCGGGGCAAAACAAGTGCAAAATACTCACGTTTTCGATACGACGGCTAGTCGGGCGAAATAAAGTCCTCGACGAGACGAGGACGGCAGAGAGATTAGTCGAGAGTTCTCGTGCGCATGCCCGTTTGAATAAATTTACATCCGGTAGCCGTCCTAGATCGTCCTGTCCTAGTATCTTAAGGTGCCTACTCATGTGGGCCGTAAATTATTCGGTAAATCCGGGGATGAAATTTTGGAGAAAATTGTTAAAAAATTTGAAGGCCTTCGTATCATGGCTGTCCAGCAGTTTCCTGATATCATTAGAGTTACCTATAACTCTGAGGATACTGTTCTCAAAGTACTTAATTTTTCTGATGTTCGCCTTTTCGATATGTGGTGTCAAATGGATGGTGTCCCCCTTCAACTATGGTTCACCTCTTTGACTACCCATATGAAGAGGATGTTGTTCCCATTGAGACACTTTTTAAAACTTATGGGAAAGTCAAGGAGATTCGTCTTATCTTGCTATTGAGGGGACCCCTGCCCCCCTTGACTGGTTTCAATTAATGGAGATATTTGTAGGGTTTTTTACAAAGACCAACCAAACCAACCAATTATTTGAAATTCTTTTGTCGCTTAGGGTCACAAAGCTAATGAATGTCCTCATAAGGATAAGTGTCGTCGCTGTGGTCAATCGGGTTATCTTGCTCGTCACTGTACTAATGCCTGGGGCACTATGCCCGCTGATGTCCAAGATCCTCTATCGGCGGGCCCTTCAAATGGTGCCAACCCTGGTGATGAGACTGATAGTAATGCTAATCAAGGTCCTCATGCTCAGGGTACCGCGACCTCTGAGCCTGGTAGATGACTAAGTTGTGTGCCCATACCTTGGCTGCTCGTCTTTTGCAAGTCATTCATGTCGTGGTTCATTCTGATCAGATATGCGACATTCCAGAACGTTATATTGGCGAAAATGTCTTCTGAAATTCACATTCCGGCTGTCATCCTTTCTCTCGACCTAGAGAAAGCTTTTGATCGAGTTGAATGGAGGGTTTGTTTGCTACCCTTGAAAAGATGGGCTTTGGCCCTTCCTTCATTAGGTGGGTCCGTCTTCTTTATTCTAAGGCGAGGTGTTCGATTCTTGTTAATGGCTACTCATCTCCTGTTTTTTATCCTACCCGTGGTGTGAGACAGGGATTTCCTCTGTCGCCTCTTCTTTATGTGCTTACTATGGAGGTTTTACTTGTAATCTCAGAGCTCATCCTGATCTTGTTGGTATCAGGCTCCCAAACTCTACTGTATCTTTGCCTGTTGTCTCCCTTTATGCGGTTGACACTTCTGCCATTGTGATATCTGATTCTGGCATCAAGGCTATTTTCGATACCTAAAAACGTTTTGAAAGAGCTTCTGAATCTAAGCTCATGTTAATCTGAGTAAATGCAAGGGCCTTTGGTTGGGCTTCTGGAGGGGTCGTTCAGATCTCCCGGTCGCCATTGATTGGTCATGCAATATGTAAAGGTTCTTTGAATCTTTATCGGCTTTGGTGACATAGATGCTGCCAACTGGAATCCTCGAATCGACGCTGTCTCGAAATGTTTGACTTCTTGGAAGATGCGCTCACTGTCGTATAGTGGCAGAGCCATTGTTGCAAATGCCTTGGCTCTCTCTCGTACTTGGTATGTTGCGTTCCTTGTACATATGCCCCGTTGGGTACTTTCGAAGCTCAACTCACTTGTTTTTAAATTCTTTTGGGCTGGTAAAAAAAAACTTAGTCCGACGTGATGTTGTTTTTCAAAAGAAAGATTCTAGCGGCTTCTCTGTTGTATCTGTCAAATTCAAAGTTCAAGCCCTTTTGGTGCAGTGGGTGAAGCGCTCTCAGGAGTTCCAGGGTGGCTGGATCTCATTACTGACTTATTGGCTTTTCGATCGTTTTGGTATTGACCTTCCGATCATTCTTGAGTCCGTTTCCCTTTTCTCCTTAGCGCTTTTGTCTCCTTTTTATCGGACTGTCTTCGACGCCTGGAGGCCTATTGGCCTGCCACGTGATCTCAAATTTTCTACATGCCCCTTGACCGAACGGTTATCGATCTATCCTGGAAGATAGCTTACGGGGCATTGTATACGGCTGAACGTTTGTCGTCTTTCGGATACGCCATTTCTACTGTGTGCTTTTGCAACGTTCCCATGGAATCAGCGGAGCACCTCTTTTTTCCTTGCCTTTTTGCTAAGAGTGGCATTGACTGGATCCAGTCCCAATTGTTTCTTGCGGCTCCACCGGCGTCATCTATTTCTCTTCGTCAGATGACGAAGGGTTTAGTTTTAGTTCTGATGAAATTGTCGTTGTTCTCAGGGTTTTCACTTATCTTCTCTTTGTGCTGAAATACTGGATTTGGTCCCAGCGAAATGATTTTCACTTTAGTTCTGTTGCTCCAAGCGCTACTGGTCTTCTGGCGCGCCTGAAGGTTCGTGTTCGTTTTCACCTAACTCCCTTCTTTAAGAGGTTTCGCTCTAACCATAGGCGCCGTTATTTTTTTCGTCAGTGGGGCGCAAATGGCGTTTATCTGTTGAATCAGGAATTCCTCCTTCGCTTTCAATATGTAAATATTTCTAGTTCAGTTTTTTCTAGCATGCGGTCGCCTCTGTTGGTTGCACTGCACTGCTGTTCGATGGCATTCTGTGCTAACCGTAAATAGTTGAAATTGTTCTTTTCTTTTAGTTATTGTATTTTTTGTTTTGAATTTTTCATTCATTGTTTTTAGTGGTGAGGCGGATTTCGACTTCCCGGCGGAGTTGGCAGGCTCGCCTCGTTTAGAGGGGGCCCTCTCACTTGGGCGGTTTTAGGTCTTTTCATTTATTGTTTTTAGGGACGAGGCATTGCACTACGGCTTTATGCCGCCCAGTTACAAAAAAAATAAATCGTTATGATTATGTCACCACGTGTGCCGGGTTTATAAAAGAGAGTGCTGTGCATGTGAAAGATTCAAACACGCATCTTCGCCTGCCACCTAGTTCTACCAATCACAATTTCCTACATGGTCATGCCATACTTAATTTTCTTCATTAATATGCAACGTCAGCTTTTATTGGTTTTACGCATCTGAGAAAGGAAGAAGTGCACTTCATCAAACCAAGTTTAGTTTAGTCCAAGTCTTACGAAAACTAGAAAATCACGACTTTACTCCGAAATATTTTGTCTTGAAAAGGTTATGAGTATTATCCAATATCACTAATCATTAGTTCGTATGATTTCCTTCGTTATACGTGTGCGTGGTAATGTCCAAAAGTTAATGAGGCTATTTGAGAATCATTTTTTGCTCCTCCCACCAAGCTCTGCCAGTCACGATTTTCTTCACTGCTTTTTCAGCTAAATACACACACACGAGTTTTCCTCGACAGGTGCCTGTAACAACTTTTTGTTAGTTGTGGAAAGGAACAGCAAGTTTGCTTTACAATATTTTCTATCACAAGTTACATTAGCTCATGTCAACTAATTGAATAAATATTTTGATAAGTTTTTCTTTGAAAGCGCGTCATAATTTCCGTTATTTCTCTCCAAGATTTCCCAGTTTAAGCAAAATTACCTTTCGACATATTACGACATATTACGACTCATCATGTGTCGAAATGACATGAAACAGGTCGAAATAGGTCGAAATAAGTAATGTGATATCCTCATGTCATGTAATTCTATCTCGAAATAAGATGGTTGTCATGGCTATACCATGTAATGCGAAGCTCGTAATGTCTTATACCATGTAATTTGAAGCGGCTAGTGACGTTCGAACTCTTGGTAGCTACCTGTTGTTAAGGACGGAAACTGTTCTCGTACACGAAGGCTATTTACCCCAGTTCCTCTAGGTTCGATACAGTTCCGCCATATTTTGATCGTCGATTTTAGGTGTTGTCAAGATTTCTCTAGACCAAAGAAGTCGTTTTTCTTATACATATCATTTTAAACTGCTTTTTCTTGTCGCACAGAGGGTCACCAACACATCTTGCGCTTTTAAAGTGTTGTGTTGGCGAAAAATGGCACATGGCGAAAAATGTATGCTTTAGCTAATGCTTTGTTTTAACAATATGCCATCTTGAAGTTGCTATTTTGTTGCCTTTCTGTGTTGTGTTCCACCTGTATAAGCTAAACCTAAAAGAAAACCACTTAAAACACAGAATGCACTTTAGTAGCCAAACTATTGAAATCAACAACATCTGTTTCATGTGTCAGTATGTCATCTTTAGGTTTAGTTTTCATGTCGACATGGAACTATGAAAATGTTTACCAGCTGCATAACTTCCAAGCTTGCATATTTAATTAATCTATTGCGAATTCCTATCAACAAACCGTACGTGCGTATCTTTCTCTTTCAGATATCAACAGCAGTGCTGTCAGCTGAAAATAAGGTGTTCGGGCATTGCTAATACATTTTTAAAAATGAGCAAGGCATGTAACAAACTAAGTCATAAAATAAAACAATAAGAAATAATATAAGGAAAAAAATTTAAAAGTAAACTAAAAAAGAAAAAAAAAAAGATCAACGAATCATAAAAATATATGTATAAACGACGGGAAATTGCTCAGGGAAATATCTACCGGAGAGTTGCGGTAGAATCTTCGGCTTACGGCTTACCACTAAGAAAGGTAGCCTTCTTAGATTCAAATTAATTGAAGCCTACTTAAGACGATGAACTAGGGCTGAAGATGATTTTAAAAGATTGCTTCGGCAATTAAAAAAAAATAATAATAATAAATTAAACGAACAACGACAACAACAACCAACTCGCTTTAATGATTCTAACGTTCAGCTGGGACCTCAAACAATAAGAATCCGTACACTGCCAACAAACAGTCTTGAATTTCTTTCCCGCTTAAAGCGAGAAGTATGAGACAGCTGCAACTCATTCTCAGGGATGTATAAGCTGCTAAAAGATACTTAAATGTTTAAATGTATTTTTGCCGCATACCTTGCCCTTTTTTAGCGTGTGAAAATGAAAAGCCCGACAAAGAAAGATAAACAAGTTTTCCAGGATACATACGTCACGTTTTTACGGTTTCCAAAAAATACGGATCAAAATGGGAAAAAAAAACCTCCCTCAATCCCTTGATTGTCATTTTATGTCGCTAGTCGCATCATCGTGTGCAGTGGGTGCATATTGGAGAAAAGATGCTGCTTACAGCCTAATCAAAGTAAATTAAAATATAATTCTGTGATAATTTTGATCTTCTTTACGGTTTTCTTAAAATGCTAATTTAGAAAAACATATAAATCACTGAGTTTATGTCATTTTCCCATTGGTAAATATGAACCAATCTTTAGCAACGCAATCAAATGTGAAAAACGTAGAACATACAATCATATTTTCAGCAGTTTTTTCATGCGCTTGATTAAATAGGGCAGCTTTTTTTTTCTTAGAAAAACTCCTTGCCAAGATACGGGCTTGCTTACCAACTATAAATTAAGGTATCTTGTCAACATCATGAACCTGCAAAGTTGCTTGAATACACAACTCAACTGGGAAATCTTGAGAAGGAAAAACGAAAAGTATGACTAGCCTTCAGAAAAGAAAAAAAACTTATCAAAATATTTATCTTATTAGTTGACATGAGCTAATATAACTTTTAAAAGAAAACTTGGTAAAGCAAGCTTACTGTTCGTTCCTACAATTTACAAAAAGTTGTTACAGGCACCTGTCGAGGAAAACTCGTGTGTTTGTATTTAGCTTAATAAGCAGTGAAGAAAATGTGACTGCCAGAGCTCGGTGGGAGGAGAAAAAAGAAAGTGATTCCCAGATTGCCTCATTAACTTTTGGATATAGCCACGCACACGTATAGCGTGGGAAATCATACGAACTACTGATTAGTAATATGTCGAAAAGTAATTTTGCTACGCATGTCGCGCCATACAGCGGGGAAATCTTGGAAAGGAATAACTGAAATTACGACGCGCCTTCAAAGAAAAACTTATCAAATATTTATTCTATTAGTTGACATGCGCTAATGTAACTTGTGATAGAAAATATAGTAAAGCAAACTTGCTGTTCCTTTCCACAACTAAAAAGAACTTGTTACAGGCACCTGTCGAGGAAAACTCGTGTGTGTGTATTTAGCTGAAAAAGCAGTGAAGAAAATCGTGACCGGCAGAGCTTGGTGGGAGGAGAAAAAAAAGGTTCTGAAATTGCCTCATTAACCTTTGGACATTGCCACGCACACGTGTAGCGTGGGAAATCATACGAACTACTGATCAGTGATATCGGATAGTACTCGTAACTTTTTCAAGATAGAATTTTGCAGGGTAAAGTCGTGATTTTCTAAACTTGGGTTAATCAAGCGGACTTTTTCCTTTTTCAGATGCTTTTAAGCATCTTTTAAAAAACCCAATAAAAGCTGACATTGCATATTAATAAAGATGAATAAGTATGACATGACCATGTGGGAAATTGTGATTGGTGGAGCTAGGTGACAGGCGAAGATGTCGTGTGTCGATCATTTACAGCACTCTCTTTTATAAAACCGGCACACGTGGGGGCACAGTCATAACGATTTATTACTGCATCGGTGCTGAAGTCGCTTTGAAGCTCGTGAACTTATCACCCGACAAAATGCGTTCCATTGTGGTATGGCTTTTACTCTTATCCGTCTTGGTAGCAGTTGTAAGCATTGATGTCGATGGCGATTCAACCTGCAACAAAACTGTTGAATCTCTTGACGCGACTCTGGTGACTCTGGTGGCAACATTGGAGACAGAGTTCGAACAGCTCAAGGCCGAAATAAAGGAGAACTGTTGTCCAGGTAGTACAAATGATAGCAGCCTCCTCGTAAAGTTTTTTTCTCACTATTTACTTTTACTTCTTAATGTATGTGGTTGTATTTTTTCTTGATTAGCTCAGTCATATTCTTCGTGCAAGGAAATTTACGCTGATAATTACGGGTAAGTGATACAACATACATTTACAGTAAAATTAACCACCACAGTTTTGCAAAACTTTAGCACCATAAGTTCTAAACTTAGAGATAGTAAAAAAAACAAAAACACAATTTATCCAAAAAAATTATGTTTACAATGTCACCCCCCACAAAATAGGATAAAACTAGTTGGAGCAGTATATGATGATCTAACTCTTCGAAAATGCTAATTTAAAGACGGTTTTTGAAAAATTGTCACTGCTTAAATGTCATTTTCTTTTTTTTTGGTGTAAAAACTATTTTTTCCCATCAGAGAAAACAAAGCATACCTACTTCAAACGGATTCTGGAGAGATTCCTGTGTACTGTCACATGACAACCTCTGGTCTTGGTGCATGCGGTGGGGGTGGATGGACACTGGTCATGAAAATTGATGGAACTAAGGTACCATTGAATCAGCTTCATTAGATCAATCATCAGTATTTGATATAAGTTTCGAGTAAAAGCAAATAACACTGAAGAAACACAAGACCAAAGAAGGCTGATGGCGACGTTCGGTTGACCTGCAGCTCTTTAAAGGCTCTATTTTGATTCGTTCAGGTTAACCTACACCTGTCTTGTTCTCAGGACTATAGGCATGCCCGAAATTGTTTGTGCCGTTTAGCTATTGTTTCGTTTGGCCAATTATACACAAAAACTTTTTAAACGGTACAGGTCGTCCAGGGACGTTTCAAGGTTTTCTTTTATTCAGTCACATCTCTTGTCCAATAATGGTCTGATCTGAGCATACTTTCTCTATTTAAGTTATTATTTTGCCAAATGCTGTTTTGTTTCTTCTCTAGTCAACCTTTCATTACGACTCCGAACTCTGGAGCAACAAGACCGACTTCAACATTGCCGGGGGAAAGACCGGGTTTGATGATGACGAGACCAAGCTACCGACCTACTGGAACACGCCTTTCACCAAGATTTGCCTCGGTATGAGGATCGACCAAACTACCAACTTTATTGTTATCAACAAGACCGCCAGCTCTCTTTACTCACTGATAGCTGATGGAAACTACCGCGCCACCTCACTGGGTCGTGACACATGGAAGTCGCTGGTTGGCTCAGGGGGTTCCTTGCAGCTCAACTGTAACAGGGAAGGATTTAATGCAGTTGGTGGTGACTACCCACATTCCAGAGCAAGAATCGGTATCCTTGGCAACAACGAAAACGACTGCGATAAATGTGATTCCAGAGTTGGCTTTGGCACAGGAGGGAAACATGATGATTCCAACACTTGTGGGAACGAAGCGACCCGCGCTCCAGATAATGGTATGAAGCGCGTTAAAGGCATGGGGTACATCTTGGTTCAGTAAAGTTCGCATGTTGATTTTGCCTCCTTCTTGTTAAAGAAAAATTGGTTAACAACGAATTGTTACTGCGTAAAAGAACTGGGAACTGTTAGCTGCAAACTAGAAAAAAGCATGTAGTACAGTTGTTGTGAAATAAATAAAAGTGGTGATGGGACTAAGTGAGTCAGTCGTGTCTTTAGGCACAATTTTGTGCGAGAAATGGTTAAGCAACACGGGATTTTCTTTTTGGCAGACATTTACTGCAAGCAAAGTTCTTTAAGGATCTTAACAACCAGGTCATTTACAAATTATTACGGTAATTAACAAACTAATCACAGCTCAGACTCGGTATGGAATCAAATCTAACATTTGAATCATGTAATAAATCTCGAAATAATGATGCTTAAATAATGATGCTTGCAAGGGACCGTACTGGGATATTCGCCTCGTGGTCATCAATGCCCTTTGTCAAGAATAGTCTTATGATCTTTTCGCTCCTGCCATCGCGAACTAACATTCTGCCTAAGCTGATGGAGCTAGGGTCGCAAAACTCTCAACTTATTTAATGGATGCATGCTGTTCGAGATGTTAGTCGCCGGAAAACCTGTCGCAGTCTCGAGGCTTTCAAAATCAAAATAACCGTGTTTAAACAATGTTACGTATTTTTTTGTTCATTTTTTGTTTCTGTTTTTCTTAGCACCAAATGTCTTTCAAAACCAGTCTAGGAGTATCAATATTGTCGTGTCTAATCAGTTGTGCTGTTAAAAACAAACTAATATTAATAGAGAGGTTTCAATAAATCCTTCCAAGGTTTCCGCCACTCATAATTCAGGAAAGATTGTGGTCGATTGCCCATAACGGCTATAATGAGCCTGACGTGATGGACAGAACGGTAGGAAAGGAAATGTGCTTTGAAAAATGCTATTTACGTACAGTATACGATTGTATTTTTGTTTACGAAAACGTTGTGAAGATTACCCTAAAATTTCCGGTGGTTGTGATGTGAATTTTACACAGCTTTCAATTTCGTTGGCTCGGGGTTGTACTAAGAATCTGAAGCTCTAGCTAGCATAGTGTTTTTCCTTAATGGACGGCAAATAGCATATGTAAATGCCTAGCAGAAGTCTTATGTTTAGTACCTTCTTTTAACCAGATAATTAATCTATGTTTAATTAATATATATATATATATATATATATATTTAACATCATTTCAGTATAATTGTGGAACGATATCAATATTTTTCTCCTAAATAACCTACAAGACTAAAAGAAAATCAATTTATTGAATAAAATGCGCTCTAATGGAAAACGAAACAGTTACAGAATAATGTATGCTTTAGTTAATGCTTTATTTCATCGATATGCCGTCTTTATTTGACATTCTGTTGCCTTTTTGCGAAATGGTCCAGGTGAATAAGCTAAACCTAAAAGAAAACCACTAAATACATAAAATGCACTCTAGTAACCAAACTATCGAGATCAACAATATGTTTCATGTGTCAGTTTGTCATTGCTCAATGGTTGTATTTGGACAAAAGATACTGCTTATAGCCTAATCAAAGTTAGATAAAAAATAATACTGTGTCGTGAAATTCTTTTACGGTTTTCTTAAAATACTACTCTCAGAAGAAAATATATAAATCAATGAGTTTTTGTCGTTTTTGCATTTTATCAAAACGATGAAATGTTCCAAACGTATAACACCATAATATTTTTATTTGATACGTTCTATTTGTTCTTGTGCATGTCAATCTAAAGGAAGTTTTTTTCCCCTTGGAAAAACGCCTTGTCAAAAAATGGTCTCGCTTACCAACTTTTAAATAAGGCATCTTGTCAAGATCGTGAAGTGGCAAACTTTCTTGGATGCAATGCTCAACTAGAAAACCTTGTGAAAAAAGAACGAAATGTATGAAACATAGAGAAATTCCACTGTTAATATAAAATTGCTCTTTTAAAGAAAAGCTTATCTGGAATTTGTTGACATAACCTAATAAAACTTGTGACAGAAAACTTGGTCATGGAAACTTGCTGTTCGTTCCCACAATTAACAAAAAGTTGTTACAGGTACCTGTCGAGGAGAACTCGTGTGTGTGTATTTAGCTTAACAAGCAGTGTAGAAAACCGTGACTGGCAGAGCTTGGCGGGAGGAGAAAAAAAAATTCTCAAATTGCCTCATTAACTTTTGGACATAGCCACGCACACGTATAGCGTGGGAAATCATACGAGGGAGGAAAATCAAAGTGCTCTGTGAACAAACTCGAGAATTGAACAGATTAATTAATCTATTTTTAGATTGTTTAATGTTATCTGGTTTAGGGAATTTTATGGTTGATTTTCATATTCAGAGTTCGAGCAGTAGTTCAGTGTTCGCTAATAAGGTACCAAAGAAACAAAGCGCCATTTGGATAAGAAGGCATTACGATTCAAAAGATCATGCTGTTGTATTTGACAAGGGTGGACGATGTCATGTGTTTTGAACATTTATCATTTTTGTTTCTGGTTCACCAAGAGATAGTTGGCAGTAAATGAGGGTGAAAAGTGCAATTTACTGTCTAGCACTGTAAATATTGACAAGTTAAGGCAAAACTGTAATAATGAAAACATTAATCATTCTCTCTTTATCAAACGAAATAAACGGAAATGAGCGTTGAGTTGTTGTTTTTTTTTTGCAAAATGGCGTTTTCAGGTTCTGCTGATAAGGGTGTATAAGGTTTTCGATGGAAGTTTTCATTGTAGAGATTTCGTGAAATGCAAAGTCTAGGCGATATTTTCATTTCAAGCTGCAACAAGGCGACAAGGAAACTAGGGTTAGAAGTAGCCTTACAAACGACTTATCCATGACGGAAACGAAACCGACAAACGGACTTCTAACAGACCGACTTAACAATACACTGACAAAAAACCGACCTATTTGACTAACAGTAGACGGATCGAAATCCACCAATGACTGATGACAAACTTTACACGAGTCTTTCAGCCAATACCATCATGGCTATACTGACCAATTACGTTCAACGGACCAGACTTATAACATCATCGACTGACAAACACTATTCACTTGACTCTGAAGATGACTTACGCTCAGGTTGTCAAAACGTCAGTCACCAACAACAGTTCTTTTCAGAACTACACTTACCCGGACGATCATACTATACGAAATCTAGAATGAATAAGTTGTTTAGGGTGTCCACAGCGAAGAATATCGCTAATCTAGTTCTGTAACGCCTTTATTTCCCATTGGCTTTAAAGACAATGAAAATGATCGGAAGAAAAACTAGCCAGCGAGAGGATCCGGTTTTTTCGGGTGCTTTTGCTTTTGTGTGTGTGTGTGTTTTTTTTTTTGCGCATGAGACAAGAGCCCAAAGAACTGGGTGCTCCCGCACGCTTGAAAAAAAAAAAAGCACACACGCAAGCGACTCGATTGAGCCACGCGTTTGTGGGCTAGGCGCACTTAAACTGGAAGTCCGATATGTTTGGACTTCAAGTCAGATCTCTCCAGGGTCGCTCGTTTCCCGACGGCTTGTCAAGAGGAACAAAGACTCTTAGCATTAGGTTACTAACATTCCAATTATAGCCATCAGCCAGTCGGTCCGCCATAACAATTTGTGATGTCGCCGGAGATTTCGATCTTATCTGATACTTCGTGCATGTTTACCGGCCAGTGCGTAATTTTAGCAATTTTGACTTTCAAGTTTGTAATACGTGTCCGAGAACTGCCATTAAAAATATTTAAATTTGTATAAATTATTACTATTATTATTTGTTTTCTTAATTTTGATTTAGATCTTATTTTTCTTTTTAAAACAAAAGCAGGTGAAACAAAATGTAAAATAGAAATAAAATGAAACCAAAGATAAATGAAATGAAATCAAAATTAAATTGACTACCCAGCCGAACGCCATCACACGGCCGAGGGCTGCCAAAAAAACCCAGAATGCTTTGCGGGATCCCTTTCGAGATTCCAATATGGCGGACGCCGCTTGGAAAAAATTCTAAGATAAAGTGACTGCGAATAGAGGGAAAAAGCGTGATGCTGGGGATACAATGCATAAATTACTTAAAGGAAACGAACTAACAGTCCATCTTCAGAAGTATTAAGAAAAGCCCAAACACGTAGGGGCCAAACCACCCCCCAAATGTTTCATGAAGGCTATATTTGCTTGGTTTAAACTTTTTAAGTAATGCGAAATAATGTGAAATACCCAAGAACTGGCGAAACATTTGGGGGGTGGTTTGGCCCCTACGTGAAAAGTACGTGAGAATTAGGCCGAGGGAATTTTAGACATTCACCGAAGATGAACTAACAATCGAGAACATTAAACGTTGTTGTGAGAGACATTTTGCTACGCAATTCGGTACTTCTCTGGTCTGCGATATTCTCGCAGGAGAGCAGGGTCCTCCCTGCAAGACCTTGGAGTAGATGCCGGATATGAAGGTACCGGGTACGAAGCCTTCTGGATCAAGACCGTACATGACATTATACACAGCATCGCGAGTGACGTGAAGATTGTATTCTTGCCTTACTTTCTTGTGCATAGCAAGCGTACGATACCCAAGAAGTCTTTCAGGACCTTCCGACTTCTCCTTCACTGCATCTTTGACTTCTTCCACAGAAACCTCTGGATTATTGTAATAGATTTCGAAATATCGCAATTGTCTGTCTAACGAACGAATGCTCCAGGCATACATCGGAAAATCGCGCTTAAAATCCCTAGAAATCTACGGCTTCTTCCCTGTTATATCTCTCGTCTTACATATCTTTCAATATCTTCTCTTCGCTTTAAATCCTCTTGCCAAATATCCGCCATGTTGGACGTGGATCCCTCAAAGTATTCTGGGTTTGTTTGGCAGCCCTCGGCCGTGTGGCAGCATTAAGCAACGAACAATTTGTTTTTTTCAGACCAAAAAGAAAACACTAGTGGCGTCACTTGGCTGGGTAGTAAATTTAATTTTGATTTGATTTGATTTATCTTTGGTTTCATTTTATTTCTATTTTACATTTTGCTTTCACTTGTTTTTATTTTAAAAAGAAAAATAAGAAATAAACCAAAATCAAAAAACAAAAAAATAACAAAAATAATTCCTACAAATTTGAATATTTTTAATGGCAGTTCTCGGCCACCAGAGGACAAAACGAAACCGAATACAACAGAGTTACCATATTTTTACTATA